CACACGAGTCGGTGCATGAGCTCCTTCGGGCCCCTTCTTGATGATGCGCCATCTGATGAAGTCAAACGGGTCCATGGCGAGGTCTCCGCTGTTGTAGAGATGCTGAAGGTCGGGGATCTTGCACACGAGTCGGTGCATGAGCTCCTTCGGGCCCCTTCTTGATGATGCGCCATCTGATGAAGTCAAACGGGTCCATGGCGAGGTCTCCGCTGTTGTAGAGATGTTGAAGGTCGGAGATTAGTAGAAGTAGTAGAAGCAGTAGAAGCAGTAGACGCAGTAGACGCAGTAGCTAATGGTAGCTAATAGTAGCTGATAGTAGCTGATAGTAGCTAATAGTAGCTGATAGTAGCTATTGGTGGCTTAATGCGCTATCTGATGAAGTCAAACGGGTCTATGGCGAGGTCTCTGATGTTGTAGAGATGCTGAAGGTCGGAGATCTTGCACACGAGTCGGTGCATAAGCTCCTTCGGGCCCCTTCTTAATGATGCGCTATCTGATGAAGTTAAATAGGTCTATAGCAAGGTCTCCGCTGTTGTAAAAATATTAAAGGTTAAAAATTAGTAAAAGTAGTAAAAGTAGTAAAAGTAATAGTTAATAATAGCTAATAGTAATTAATAGTAAATTATTATAGTTAATAGTAATTATAATAGTTAATAATAGTTAATAATAATTAATAAAGGCTAAAAAAGTTATTATAAAATTTTTAATATTATAAAAATATTAAAAATTATAAGTTAATATATAAGCCTTTTTAGGCTGTTTTTTAATAATATATTATTTAATATAATTAAATAAATATATAATAAGGTTTTTATTATTATAAAAATATAAAAAGTTTTAAAGTTATTTAAGGTATTTATATATATATTTAAAAATATTATTATTAAGGCTAATAAAAACTAATTTTAGTTAATAATAATTATTTATAATTAATAATATTTAAAATATATTAGAAATTATTTATAATTAATTATATTTAAAATATATTAAAAATTATTAAAAATTATTTAATATATTTTTATAAATAATAATAGTAAATAATTATAAGTTTTTTATAATATAAAAATAATAACTTTTATAATATTAATAAATATTATTAAATAAAATATAAATATAAAGTAAATTAAATAAATTATTATATATAATTTACTTTTAAATTAAAATTAATTATAAATTAAATATAAAATAATTTAAAAATATATATTATAAATTTAATATTTCTTTTAATTATTATTAATAAAATAATATTTTTATATAAAGTAAATTAAATAAATTATTATATATAATTTACTTTTAAATTAAAATTAATTATAAATTAAATATAAAATTATTTAAAAATATATATTATAAATTTAATATTTTTTTAAATTATTATTAATAAAATAATATTTTTATATAAAGTAATTATTTTATTTTTATATAAAATTTTATTTTATTTTATAATTTATTAAAAATAATTAATATATTTAATTTAATATTATATATATAATATAGTAATATAATAATTAATATATTTAATTTAATATTATATATATATAATAATACTTTAATAATTAATATAAAAATAAAAAATAATTAAAAAATAATTTATTTATAAAATTAAATTAATAATAAATTATTTTTAATTTATAAATAAAAAAATTATTATTATAATAAATTTAAGTTTAAAAAAACTTATATATAGTTTTTATAAAATTAAAAAAAAATTAATAATAAAATAAAATAATAAAAATAATAATATATATTAAAAGCTTTTTATAATAAATTAAGTATTTATAAAAAATATTATAAAAATTCTATTTTTTAAATTAATTTATTTATAATTAAAAAATAATTTTAATTAATTAAGAAAATAAAATTTATAAAATTTCTTTTATATATATATATATATATTATTTATTTATAAAAAGTATTATTAAATAAAGTAATTAAGCTTTATTTTAAAAGGTTTAATATATATAAAATTATATTTAGTTTAAAAAAATATAAAGATGAAAATAATTAAGAATTAATTCTAAAGTAATTAAGAATTAATTTTAAAATAATATTTATTAATTTCTTAAGGGATTATTATTTATAAATAATAATTTAAGTAAAATAATATAATTAAATTTTTTAATATTTAAACTAAGATATTTAAAAATAAAAAAAATATAAGTAAGTAATTTAGCTTAATTTAAGTAAAGTAACTTAAAGAAATTAAGTTAAAATAATAATAAAATTATAATAAAAAAGAAATTTAAAAAAATTACTTTAGAATTATTAATATTATAATTTATAATTAAATTTAAAGTAATTCTTTTATATTTATATATAAAATAATTAAATTTAATAAAAACTTATTTATAATTAATTAAAGCTTAATAAAATAAAATAAAAAATTAATTATTTATATATTATTTTATAAATAAATTTATTTTATAATAATAAAAAATAATTTATTTATTAAATTAGTTTTTTTATATAAAAAAAAAGGGGGAGGGAGAGTAAAATAACTTATATATATACTTAATATAACCTTTTTTAAATATAATTATTATAAGTTTATAAATATTTTTAATAATAAATATTAAATATAAATTAAAATTTATAATTTAACTTTAAGTAATAATAAAATAAATATTAAATAGTTTTTTATTTTTTTTTTAATATTTTTATTTTTTTACTTATTTTTTATTTTTTTTTAAAATATTAAATATATTTATTTATTTATTTTTTAATATAATTTAAATTTTATTATTTAATTTTAAAATAAATCTAAAGTATATATAAAAATTATATTTATTATTATTAAGTTTAATAAAATTATAATAATTAAGTTAAGAAAAGTTATACTTTAGCTTTTATTAAAGTATTTATTTTATAAAATTATATATTTTTTTAATATTATATATATATTTTTCTTATATAATTTATATATATACTATTTTATTAAAAATTAATTTATTATTATTATTTAATTTTAAAATAAATTAACCCTAAAAATAATATTAAAATAAGTATAAATTAAATATAAAATAGTTTTTTTATTTAATTATATTTTCTTACTTATTTTATATAAAACTCCTTTTTTTTTTAAATAAGTAATATATTTTTTAATTATTTACTATAGGGTAAGTTTAAATCTTTTTTATATTATATTTTTTAAATAAAATATTAATTTCTTTTTAAATTAAATTAAAATAAATTTTTAAATTTTTTTATATATTATATAATTTTTTATATAAATAATTAATTTATATATTATTATTTTTAAAATAAATAAAATTTTTAATAAAAGTTAATATAAATATAAAATAAATATAAAGTAATTAATAAAAAAAATATATATTAAGAAATTTCTTTTATTTTTATTTTTTTAAATATATAATTTATTTATTAACCTTTTTTAAGTTAAATTATATTATATTATTTAATTATAAAGTAAATATTAAATTAATATATAATAAGCTTATTATTTAATTAATTTTATATTATATTTATTTTTAAAAAAATAAATTATTTATTTTTAATATAAAAATTATATTTATTAATAAAACATTTAGTAAAATTATAATAATTAAGTTAAAAAAAAACTATACCCTAGCCTTTATATTTATTTTTAATATTATTTTTAAACTAAATTATATTTTATAATTTAATTTTAATATAAATATTAAATAATTATAAATTATATTTAAAATAAATTTATAATTATAATATAAACTTTAAGTAAGCTATATATATATAAAATAATAATAATATAATAAATATATAAATTAATTTTTATATTATTTTAGTTAAAAATAAAATTATTAATTTTATAATAAAAATAATTATAAATAACTTTAACTTTTTAAATAAAAAAAAATAAAAAAAATAAAATATAAGTAATATTATATAATAAAAAAAATTTAAAATTAAAAAATAAAATTATTTTTATAAAATAAAAGTAAAATAATAAAGTAATTATTAATATTTAATTATTATTATTTATAATTAAAAATTAAAAATAAGCTAAACTAAGTTAATATATAATAATAAATTAATAAAAATTATATTAATTTAAATATAAAAAAGCTAATAAAGCTAAGAATATTAATTCTTTATATTATTTAAAATATATAATTAATTAAATATATTAATTTTTTTTACTACTTATTAAAATAAATATAAATTAATTATTATTATTATATTTATATTATATTATATTAAACCCTAAGTATTTATTTTTATTTTTATTATTAAATAAATATAAAATTACTTATTACTAACTTAATTACTTTTTTAGTATTACCCTAAAACTATATATTTATAACTTATGAAATAGCTAACTATATTATATTAAAAAAAATTAATTTATTACAGCAGTTTAATAAAGAAAAGCAGTCCTAGCTATATAAAGCAGTTTTAACACACTAAGGCTATTTTACTAAAGCAACGGAGTTTAACACACTGAAGCTATTCCAGCGGACCAGACCAGCTCTAGCACAATAAAGCAGCTCCAGCACAACAAAGCAGCTCCAGCAGAGCAGAACGGCTCCAACAAAGCAGAACGGCTCCGGAACAACAAAGCAGCTCCAGCAGAGCAGAACAGCTCCGGAACAACAAAGCAGTTCCGGCATAATAAAGAATTTTCACCGCAGCAGACCCGTTATAGTACAGGAGAGCAGTTCCAACTTTTAACACAGCAAGGCAGTTCCAACACAATAAAGCAGTTCCGGAAGAGCAGAACATCTCTAACACAGCAGAGCAGTTCCAACAAAGGAAAAACATACATGTAATAGTGTCAAGTAAGTTCAATAACTCAAGTAAGGCAGCGTTACTTATACAATTACCCACAGTGATGTAAGTATAAAGAGAGGGGACTACCCTTTAATTATTTTATTTCACCTCCTTAGCCTTACCAAACTACACACAATCTTCTTAAACACCAGCAGCACTCTACCTATCCATCAGGTAAATTCACCAGAAAGCAAGCATAGGAACCCAAGCTCAGACACTTCTCCACGCCTACACCCGCAGAAGCAACAAAAAGCCACTCATCATCTCAGAAACAATTAGCACTACAGTCACTCTTCCTTCTCTTCCCCTAGCCGCCGTGAACCCTTCGCACCTACACTCTCGGATCACGCAGCAGCTATGGCTCAGAATCGAAACCCCATCTACGTCACCGTCCCTTTTGAAGATGCGGCGGATGCTAACGCCAAGAACAGCAAAGTGCCTAGGGAACAGGACAGGGTCGGCCTCTGGGGCGGTAGCGGCGGTGGCGAGGGCAAGTTCGAGGTCGTGGTGGTTTACATGGATAACGATAAGCCATGCTACCGTGCGAGGGAGAGGGCTATAATCGACCAGAGCATCCCGGTCGCGCTGGGCTCTCACCCCTCGTTCATTCGCGTCCGACTCGACTGGCCGGGAGAGCTTCGCGGGCTGCCAAACCATGTCATACAGTATGACGATGTCCGCCAAATCAAAGCGCATTATAGTCAGACGCCAAGGGAGGACGGAGGCCCAAAAGACGACGACTGGTGGTCCTACCTCGCCGACACACACAACTTCCTGATTCGCCTACAGGACTGCAAGCAACCCAACGGCTTCGAGATGACGGCAATCCTCAGGGGGCAGGCGGACGACCTTGGCGGGCTCTTTTACGTCCCGGAGTGTCACATTGTCGTCAAGCCTGGTAAGGAAAAGCATCTGGAAGCAAGAGCCCAGGCCCTGCATAGAGATGGGAAATACACGCCCTACATGTTCTGCGAAGAAAAGAGGGCTGCCCTCCTAAGAAACTGGTTTACCAAGCGCTTCTTCGTCAGCGCGGTTGAGGTAGGACAGGACACGGGCAACTGGGTCACCATCATCTTCGACAGATATGTCAACCAACGATTCGAAAAGGTTCCGCACCTCTACATCCTTGACCCCAACCCCAACGGGCGGACCGAGCGTGCCGACCACACCATCCAGGTATGGAGAGAAATCCTCAGGGAGATCGGGTACTCGTCGACCTTTATGGCCTATGTCCTCCCCCTGACAAGCAGGCCGCACGACTGGACAACCGGCTACATCGCCTTGTTTAGTGCTTTGCAGGCTATGCGCGGTCTCTCGGGGCAGAACACGGCGGAGATAGGGCTGAGCAAGGAGTTTGACGTCCTCACGCGCTACTTCTTGCCACCGGTTCCCGGCCCGGACCACATAACGCCCGCGCAGCTTGCCGATAGGAAAAACCGCCGCTTCCTGGATGGCGGCAAGAGCGACCTTCGTTTCCGGGACTGGTGCATCAGCATCACCCGCAAGGGACCGGTCACCGACAAGCCTCGTTCGTTGGATTGGGTGTTGCATCACTTGGTTGCCTGTGCGGCAATGGAACTGGGGATCAGGAAACACACGGCGTTTACAGAAGCGCCCCTTCGCAACGTATGCTTCAACCTGGAGCCGCTGGCTTCGAATATAGAGCGATGGGGAACGCTGGATGCCAAAGACCACCGAACAATATTCGGGGGCTTCAACCCGGTCTGCCCCCCCTTTGCCACTCAGCAGCGATTTGGCGTAAGTATGTTCGACGTGGCCCGTGACGACTTTACTGAGTATGGCCCCGGTGGGAGACCTCTATACTTGCTGCGCCGAAGGGCGGTACAGACAATTGTTCCAACAAAGGACGATTGCAACCCCAATATGAAGTAGTGGGCCGGGAAAACAGTTTGTTGTGGAGGAGAGCCCTGATATGAGGCATTGTACTTGGAAAACAGTTTGTTGTGGAGGAGAGCCCTGATATGAGGCATTGTACTTGGAAAACAGTTTGTTGTGGAGGAGAGCCCTGATATGGAGCATTGTACTTGGAAAACAGTTTGTTGTGGAGGAGAACCCTGATATGGAGCATTGTACTTGGAAAACAGTTTGTTGTGGAGGAGAGCCCTGATACACAGTAAACGGCTTGGCAAACGGTTTGTTACGGAGGAGGTGTTTATTTTATAGTGTGAACGAATTTAATACATTGCTTTTCCCTGTCATATGGTTTAACCTTTTATAAACGTGCACGCACCTGATGCTCTCATTACTGTGCTGTTGTTTTTGTTTTCACTGCCGAGCGCTTCCAACCCTAAGTCTTTTACCCTTTCCACTTGACTATCGCTCCTCCTACTGCAAAGTCTAAAAAACCTCACTCTCTCTTCCCCACCCTGCAAATGAACGCCCAATTCAACACTGCCTGGCTCGGCCTGGAGTGCGCGCAGAGCATCGGCCGCAATAACATCCCTGTTACGTCTAGGCACTGCGGCGCTCGCGTTCAAGGTAAGTGTTCTGGCCAAGCTACGCGCGAGGGGGGTATCGAGACTAAGGAGATTGTAGCTGGAGAGATGGCTTGCTGCATCTGCGGGGGAGCCGTTCAAGAGGAACACACCGACTTCGCGGTAAGACCTCCTTGCAAGATCGCCGGCCGACACCGCAGCCTCTAACCCGCATCCCATCACAGCTTCGGTGGCCCAGGCTCACCACATATATACGCCAGCTATACAGGGAGATAGGCGCGCGGCAAGGGAAGCCCGCAAACGCTCCGGCAGCAGCCAGGCCAAATACCCATCTCGCCGCGGCCGCTTCAGTATTCGCCGAGGCCATCGAGAGAGACCAGGCGGCCTTGTCAGTGAGCCGTCGCCTTTGCTCGACTCTAGAGAGGTCCCAGCGGGAACGGGCACTAAGTGACATAATGTCCAACGGGTACAGGCGTGGCGGGCCACGCGCGGGCGAGGTCCGCTGCATCTTGCGGAACGCCGTGAGCGACGAGGGCATCATGGGCACGGCTGCCATGGCCACGGCCATAGCAGAAACAGAGGCAGCGTGGGAGGCGGCTGCCCACGCTGTGGCTGCAGCCGACTGCGAGGAAGGCAGACTACAGCGTGCATCGCCGCTCACCGTATGAATCAAGGTCTACGAAGGGGTGTTTCCGGGCGAAAGGAGTGCGGGTGTGAGCAAGCCTGAACTCCTGGTCTTTTATGGGCAGGGTGTGATGGCCGAAAGAGAGAGGTTAGGGGCAAAGGAAAGGTGCGGGTGTTTAAGGAGCAGCAGAGCACAAGGGGCATACATCAAGATGACTGCATGTGTATTTACCTTCCCCCTTGATGTAAAACAACACACCTAGCATACAACGAACGGGTACCTATCTCCTATCCTATGTCAAGAGCTGCAAGCGCGTGTGCAGCGATAAACTCTATCTAAAGTGCATTCATACAAGATCATGCCCATATATCCTTGGCATTACAGCGCCGCACTAAGCTGCCGGACTCTCAAAATGGAAAACTACCTGACACAGAGATATGCCGACGTAATAAACGTAAAGCCCCTGCGCCATCACCCCTCCTCACTCCTCGTCTCCGCCGTTCATGCATCCAAAATCGCTTAGCAGGGTCATCCTTCCCTTGTTTCTCTGACGGACAAGGCTGTGCGTCTGATGGGACGATCGTACGTGGAAGAGGTGGACGGGAAATCGCTGTCCCCGGCGGCGAACGCGACCGACTGCTTGACCCTCGTGGTGGGGCATGAAAAGCTCTCCGAAGATGATGAGATAGTTGCAAAACGTAAGCGCGTCCGTGCCGGTGCCAACGAGGTTGGCCGTGGAGATGATGACGTGTGTCTCCTGGGATTCGATCGCTTGTTTCTCAATCGCCTTGAGCTGGCCATCTCTCTGCCTCGCCACACTCTTCGACGAGACGCGGTGGACGGCGACCTTGCCGAGAAGCTCTCCGTGGCCGCGTAGGATGACTGCTAGGTGGCCGGTGAGGCTTGGAGTGGCAGCAATGACGAGGACGTGCTTCTGCCGCTCCGTCGACCCCGAGCCGCGATCGCCGTGCGCCATCAGGAGGATCCTGGTCACCTCTCGAAGCCAGTCGTGCCCCTGGTGCAGGTGCGCGGATCGGGAAATGAGGCCCCGGTCGCCTTCCTCGATGTCCTGGTCAACTTCTACGGCGCGAGACGGGTAAGTGCTCGAAGAGCGGCTCATGGTAAGCTGGGCGGACGCTATGGCGGGCATGATGGCCGCACAGAAGTACTGGGTGAAGACGGGCATCTTGACCAGAATGTTGAGGCCTTCGTCGGGACGAATGCCCTGCCTCGACAATCCCTCCCGGCAAATCCTCCCCAGCTCTTCGAGATCACCCGCCAGGCTCGGCGGAACCGAGACTGTCTTGGTCACCTTTGTGTAGCCTTGGCGAGAGCCTGCGACAGTCTGGTCCAGAATCGGGCTGCCGCCGGTCCTTGCTATTATCATCGGCTTTAGGAACCGGGCGAGGTCGGCGGCGAATGCTGCTGTGAGGGCCAGACTGTCTGTCCCGTGGCCCGCAGGCGACTGTAGCTTCAGGAACCGGCCGTTGAATGCAAGCAATTCCGAACTCACCCGATCGGCCTCGCGCTCGGGGTTGAAGAGAACTCGGCAGATGCTCGCTACGTCAAGTGGCTTCGTCGATATTGGCGTCGCGCTTGCGAAGCACCATTGAGTCCTGCGAGGCTCGGAACTCGAGAGCCGGTGAATATCGTCGACCCGTTTCCAGAACTGGGTCGATCCATCCTTGATCGAGTGACATTCGTCGAACACGAACAACGTCGGCACTATCGGCATCGGAAACGAGAGGGGGGCGGCACCCGACCGACCGGCGTAGTAAATGTCCACCGGTACCCGAAATGCATGCGCGGCGCCCGTCTTGTGGCTAACGACCGACGAGGATATGACGAGGACCAACCTGCTCTGGCCTGCGGCTCGGGCGCCGTTCAAGTCAGCTTCGAATTTGACTCCCTTCTTGTCCCGTAGCTGCCTGATAGCCGCGGTGAAGTTTGGGTTCTTCATCGCCTCTTTCGCATGGGCAGCCGGCACCCTGTTGGGGTTCGCGGTGATACCAACCATCAGATTCGCGGCGGGGTATGGCTCGAAGCCGGCGAGGGCATCCACGCCCGGTGTGCCAAACGGGTGGCTCACCACATGCCCATCCGTCCACGAGAGCAACTCGACGAAGCGGTCGGGCACCCGGGACCCCTTGGCCTTGACCTCCGGTAGGTAAAAGTCGGCAGCCCTCGCAACCCATTGCTCGACGAGGTGGGCGGGGCATACGACGAGCGAGGGGCCTCCCGTCAGACGACTGACATACCGGCTGCTCAGGGACCCGGCGACGCAGACGCACTGGATGCCGTAAGGATCGCCCGCGGGGCATGGAGACGTGGTGTTGCCGCGGTTATGGATGTCTGGGTGCCTGTGGACATGCGCTTCAGACAGTAGCAACAGGCGCATGACGGCGATCAAGGCCATGTTGCAGTGGGTTTTGCCCATCCCCGTGGCGTCGGCCAAGATCTGACCTTGCGGCTGAATCCTGCTGCCCAGCGACTTCTTGATAAACTGGAAGACGAAGGCGAGCTGGGGAAGGGCAAGGCTCTGGCCCGTCCCAGGAACGACGAAGCCGCTCTCGATCTCGGTCGGGGTCGCGCAGAAGAAGGCGCAGATGCCGTCCAGTTCGTCTGGTGGAAGAGTGTTGGTCTGGTAGAGCAGCTCAAGGGTGGCGACTGTGCCACTGCTCTCCTGTCCGTTCGAATCGCCGTCCGACTGGCCATCGTCGGTTGTGAGGTCGATGACCTCGCAAGGCCTGGGTTCAGAAGCATCGGTGCCGCCGTCATGGGCAGGGTGTTCGGGGCCGATCGGCTCTGCGTCGTCTCTCTCGTCAAGCGATCCGTTGCTCTCAGCGGCCACGTCCTCGGTGTGAGCGTGCTCGCCATCCGCATCTGCGCCCTCGGCCACCGTGTACTGAACGTCCATGTGGTTGGCATCTTCGGGGCTTTCAGCGTCCGCCCCGTCGCAGAGATCGCTTTCTGCACTGCCCACGCTCAGGCCGGCATCGGTCATCGCCTCGTCCTCTCCACCAAGAGAGCCGAAGGGCAGGGGGGATGCCGCGTGGCTGTACTCCACATCTGACTCCTGGGGGGCCGCCGATAACGATCGACGGCTGGACGGCAGAGGCGAGAGCTGGGTGGCGCTGTCATCAGCATCGGTATCGGCGACCATGGGATTGAGATTGCCCGGAACCAGGAACTGCGGATTCGGCTGGGGAGACAGGTTGTTTTGGCTGAGATTGAATGGCTGAACAAGGCCGTCGGGGCCCAGCATGCCAGGGACGAACAGTACGTCGGGTCGGCGAAGATAAGTTGGGTGGGTGCTCCTGCGATCCTGGACAAGCAACAGGGCGACCGCCTAGGTCCCTGGATGCTTGAACGAAACGCTCTCCCCATCCACGATGGCTGTCCAGCCGTCGGGGTGGTGTTCGTAGTCCCTTGTTGCCGCAGACAGGAACTTCTGGTGGCTGAAATGCCAATGCTGCATGACTGTCCCTGCTGGGAGATGGTCGACGAGGAACTGCGTCAGGCACCCTCGTTGTTCATCGGCGCCCTCGTGAGCCGGTATGAGGTAGCACATCATCCCCAGTATCGGGCTCGGCTGCGCGGGGGATACGAAGGAGGTCGGGAGGCCCATCGGCGGGCTGTACGGTGCGACGCGGCGCTCGGGGTCTCTGTTTCCACCATCATCGTCAGCACTCGAACGGCCAAAGAGGGAGGGACGCCGGCTTGGAGGTAAGCAGACCTGCTGGTGCCCCGGCGGCGCTGTTGCTGGCGGCGATGCATTTTGACGAGCGGCGCCGCGAAAGTTTGGCGTGAGCTCGGAAGTCGTGGGCTAGGTGACGAGAATAGAAGACGTCAGATGAAGAACCGCACGGCGGTGGCGAGGCGAGCGGGGAAACATACCTTCTGATCGATTGAGATTGGTTCAGGCACCTCGGGGTGATGAGGATCGAGATGCGGAGGGACGAGGTGGTAACGCAGAAGCAACAGAAATGAAAGATTGAATGTGCCCGCGAGGTGGGATGTGGAGCAGGCTGGGGCCCGTGGGGTTAATGCCTCAGGCCGAAAGCCCGGATTTTTATTGTTCCCTCGCCGCCTGCTTACGTACTCGCTCGAGATCAATGCAAATATAGGGTAGCACCGCGGCGGTTGTGTCTGGACCTGGAGATGCTGTAAAATCACAACAGCATCTGCATGTGGATAGTCAGCTCGGCAGCGGCTTTCTCGGTGTGGTGGCGCCAGTTCGGGAGCCACAGGGCGCCAGGGGTAAATTGTCTATAAATAGGTGGGCGCGGAGGATTTCCCGATCAGGCTACGGGACAGTGACCCGATCACCAGGGCCGATGCGGATGCGGGGTTGGTGGGGGAGGGCGATCAAAAGCTTCGACGACATCACCTGGGAAAGCGACCATTGTAGAACCTGCGTACGCGTATCCGCTGCTATCACCGTTTATGAGGATGCTCGGGAAGCGGGCATTCTCTTGGACGTGAAGCGTTAAACGCCCAGTCGGTTCATCATGTCGTCGCGAGTGTTTCGCGCGAGCTAGGCCGGCTTCTCTAACCGCTGGCGACCTGGGATCGTGCGTGTGCTGCGTAGCTCGAGGCATGGATACCCGGGCGTCGACGGATTCGGGCAACGGGTTTAGTCAAGGGAGAATTGCTGTTATGAGCAACCTGTATCAAAGGTTGACTTTGCATTACTAAAGAGCTAACCTACTACCCTCGTCTCGGGTACTCGTCCCGTGCTCAACCAACCTACCCAACGCGTTTCTTCCTCGGCGTGCAGGTATCTTCCAAGGAGGGAAACACTAAGGTGCTCCACGAAGCGGGTTCAGGTGATTCCCAAGAGTGTCATACTCCTTCAACTGGACACGGCCTATGCAATGGGCGCTGAAGCGTTGCCCCATGTCAAAGGCCGGGCGGATGGGGTTGAATCCGCCAAAGGCTGTGAGGTTGCTGTTGGCTCTCAGCGGCTCCCATTTCTCAATGTCGGCGGCGATTGGCTCCATGTTGAACTGCAATTGGCGGAGCGGGGTTTGACTGAAGCTCGTGTCCTTTCGTATGCCCAATTCTGACACAGCACAAGCCACGAGGTGATGAAGCACCCAGTTCAGCGACCTGCGCACGTCGGCCTCCCGCGTGTCATGTTTGATGCTGATGCACCAATCCCGGAACCGAAGGTCGCTGTTGCCGCCGTAGAGGTAGAGACGTGTCTCGTCATCGATCTCGTACAGCGGGTCGCCCGGGTCGCTGGGCTCGGGGAACAGTCGCGTTCGGCGCGGCACCATCTTGACGTTGTGCAACATGGTCATGATCCTGTCTCCGGAAAGGCCACGCATGGCCTGCATAGCGGCAAACATGGCAATATAACCCGTGGCCCAGTGCCCCGGTCGGCTAGTCAGGGGAAGCACGTATGCCATGAAAGCCGCGGGATATCCGATCTCCGTCAGGATCTGGCGCCAAACTTGAATGACATAATCTGCTCGCTCGCTTCGCCCGGTGGTGTGAGGGTCCAACACGTACAAGTGTGGCGCCTTGTCTGTCTCTTGTTGACGGTACCTATCGAAGATGATTGCGACCCAGTCGCCGGTACCTCGGCCTACCTCGACCATGCTGACGAGGAATCTCATCCCGGACCACCGACGGCGCAAGGCGGCTGGGTCACTTTCGCAAAAGTCAAATGGTATGTAGGGTAGATTCCAGCGACGAGCCTCGGGCTCTGAGCTCAGTGCCACCTTTTTGTCGGGATGGATGACCAGCGGCCGGTTTGGGACGTAGAACAATCCACCCAGGCCCTGTGCCTGACCATGTAGTACTGACATCATCTCGAGCCCGCTGGGCTGCTGGCAATCTTGCAGCCGGATCAAGAAGTTGTGCGTGTCCGCAAGATGGGCCCACCAACTTTTACCCTTGGAGGATGCGTCATGCTTGGCTGTGGCTCCGTAGTGCTCCCGAACTTGCTGGCAATCCTCACGGTTCAAGGTGGCATTTGGCAGGTTGCGCAGCTCGCCGGACCAGTCCAGGCGAACGAAAAAGAATGTCGGGTGAGGCCCCAGGGCAGCATCGAGGCTGCGGCCGATCCTTGCTTCTTCGCGGCTTCCGTAGCAGGGCCCGCTGGTCTCCAGCGAAACCATCACGACCTCGAGCTTGCCGCCGTCGCGGCCCCATCTCTCAATCTTTTCGTCAGACCCAGATATCTTGCCGTTCTTTCGATTGGCGTCATTGCCATCGATGAAGGGAACGATGACTCTGATGTGGTCGCGGCTCGGGGCCATGGCTGCTGTCGAATCTCGGGGGCGTGTGAAGAAGAACTCCGGGGTGTTCTTTCCAGGGCCGGGCTGGCAGAGGCGCGGTCGACCCTGTGCCTATCTTCTCGATGCGTAGGGATCGTGTTACCCGCGTGACTGTGGCTGCAGAGATGGTCAGATGTCTCTCTGGGATTCAAGGGCCTCCCCGTTCATGGGAACTAACCTGGTGGCGAGCTGTGGGAATGCGATGATGGAAAGGCTAGGGTTCGAAGCGTGCAGCTTCAGAGCACAATCGCGTGAGGCTAGAGGGAATTGCGATGAAACGATGGCCGAGGGACGTCGCCTATCTGCGATGGGGGACCTGAGTGGCGGATACTTGACGAGAGAGAGCTGAGTGGGCGAGCGGGCGTTGGCGTAGAGGGAAATGGACCAAGGAGAGAAGGAGAAGCGGGCGAGGGAGGTGAGAGGGGGAGAAAGGCAAAGGAGTGATGGTGCCGCAGATTTGAAGAAGAACGGCAGTGCAGTGAATGACTCCTGGGATCAGCTCACGGACCCGCCGAGATGGTGACGAAGGCAAGTCGGGCGTTTGCAAACGCGCCTCTTTGTAGCAGCTGCTGGGCCTGTGCGGTAAATACAGGTTTGCGGTCGTTTGCTCAAGGGATGGCAGAGCGGAAGCATGATCAAGCTTGCTAGTTGTCTCCTCGCCATTCCCTCTCCATTCGCACTCGCACCCTCTCTTCACACACGAGCTTTCCAGTTACTTCCGATCTTGGTTGTTTACCCAGAAGCTACGCGATCGTCTCTCCGGTTTCAACCCTGCAGGCTCAACGGCCGCAGTTGAGATTGGCCCTTATGGTCTATCACCTCGTGTGGCAGTCGCCTATGCTAGCTTTACGCTTGGTGGATTGTCGGGCAGTCGATGTGCAGTGATTCACTGTCACGCCTCGGAGCCCGCTATATATATACCCGCACTCACATTTATCTCAACTTCCTCCACCCTCCCGCACTCGCTCCTCCTCTGCACCCTTCACCACTTCGCTCCCGTATCTCAAACCTCCCTCCCCCCCCCCCCCCCCCTCTCTCTCTCTCTGTTTCTCTCTCTCTCTCTGACATAGAAAACACACCGTACCACCACGCGTAAGTACATGCATTCTCCCACCTCTCTCACCAGTGCTTGGCTGACTGAACTCCGCTCTTGCCGTTGTTGCAGCAGACAACCAACATCAATCTCTTCATCCTCCACGACAATGCCACAACAGCAGCAGCAGCAGCAGCAGCCCCGGCACATCTACGCCGTGAAGCTTCTCGTCGGGCCAGAGCATCACCCGTGGCCGGCCAGCTACACCTCCAGGGATGCCGAGTGGGCAGAGAGTTGCAGGATCTCCCCGATCAACGTCAGACAGAGCTGGAGCAAGACGACACGCTTGACGGGCGACTTGACCCTCAGGCTATCCCCGGAGAGCCTCGCGGAGCAGTTCCCAGGACTGAAGCCCACCGGGGCCTACGAGTTCGTGGAGAAGTACTTTGGGCGGAGCTGGCACCAGCACGTGTGGGAGGTGAGGGATCTGCTCCTCAGGATGCGCGGCTCAATGCTCGCCAACAACTTCGGCCTGCAGGCAATGCTGGCGGTCTTGTGCCAGGGCAACACGAAGGCGACCGCCATGCAGGAGTTCATCAAGGTGCTGAACACGACCCCTTGGCGAAACGGAACGGGAAACTTCTCAGACCCCCGACTCGACGAGGGAGACGAGCTCGTCGACGCCGACCTGCCAGGCTGCACCGAGACGGATCGCATTCGGAACGAGCTGTACACGCACCGGTGGGTGCTCACATTCTTCAACTTCGGCGACGCTCACTGGGTCGCCGCCGTGTTCGACAGCTTGCGATGCACACTGACGCTCTACGACACAATCGAGTCAAACCGCGAAAAGAGAGCGAAGGCGGCCGGCCTGGCGTGGAGGAGCTTTGCCCTGAACATGGGCATGCCGTGCGGGACTCTCGTCGTGTCCCCTGCCCTGCCCGAGCAGCCAAACGACTGGGCCTGCGGCTACATCGGCCTCGTGAACCTGCTGCTGGCGACGCGGTGCCGGCAGGGAGACCAGCACAGGGAACTCTCCCCCCATGACTTTCCCAGGACGTGGCTGCACGCCGACGCCCGTCCCGCGAGCTATGCGAAGATGCCAAACTCGGGCGCCCCCTTCTTCCCAGTGCCGGACTGGACATACGGCGCCGGCAGCAGCAAGGAGGCGTGGCGACGCGCCAGCACCGTGCTGCACGCCATGATGGCCAACGAGCTCGGCATCAGGTCGCTGGGCGATCTCGAACGCTACGATGCGGGCAGGAGGAACAATCAGCAGGCAAACGAGCCGTACGAATTCTCTTTCCACTTGCCGTTTCCCGGAGAGCCCATCGCCCTTCTGATTCACAGAGCCGGCGATTGGAAGACGAAGCCTACGACGTACCCCAAGGGCGCGCCCGTCTTGAGCGGCTTCACGAGGCCGCCGACTGTAACAACCCCGGCGCCGAGCCTCTGGGCCCCCTTTCGAGACTACGTCTACCGAAACCTACCAGGCGAGGCAGGGTCAGTCGCCGCGTTGGCGAGGCGTGGTATACGATGCTGGAACCCGAGCAGCAGCCGCTTCTTCGAGCAGAATCTCCCTCGAGCGTCGCAAACCGCGCAGGCTGCCATCAGCGTCTCATCGGGTACGCGGCCGAACAGTCGCCCATACGATGTCATCTCGTTATCCTCGGGCGGGCCTGGCGAGTAAGGGGCATCACCAACTTCATCGGACAAGGGCGCTGCTGCCAAGGGGGGGTTACGGATTTACAGGGTAGCGGCTTATCTGGCTTGGGGAAAATAGTCACACGCGCTTCTGCAGTATATAAAGGACAGGAACTTGATGCCGAGGGAGGACAAGGGTTCTGTGTACATGGGGTTCACCAGGGGAAAGGGGAGTTTGATGCTTGCGCGGAGTCAAGACTCAGTTTCGAAGGAGAGAACTCTATACCACGCTTAGTGAATAGACTGTCTTGAGCTCCTGCTATGTGGAGCGTATAATAGCTTCCTTGGTAAATACTGCACATACATCTACCCAGGTAAAGACACAGCGCCTAAGTGTGAGGGTCAATCACTCACGATACCCCGGCGTTACTTTCTCCACTGGACTCGAACCGGATTCCGGCCGTTGATAGTAAGTAGTAACCAGCAACTCACACCTGTAAGCGCAGGGGGGGGGAAGTCATGGTTGTGGTGATCTCACAGTGGACAGCGGAACGTGATGGGCCGAAAACTATATTACACACATGTAGTCTATTGGGATGGGTATACGCCGGGACTGCCAGCTAATGGGAGCTACGCGGAAGCATACGAGGGTCCAGGTATGCTACCCTGCGGTAACGCGGGGCGGATGAGTTTCTGCAGCGCCGTTGATGCCTCGTCAAGCCGGGCCTGGCATCCGTCGCGCGACCTCTGAGCCCCCTTGACAGAGCGGAAGTGTTTGGCAGCCTCACGCATGGTCTTGTCGTGCAGCAACTGTTGATCCATGTGGCACGCCTTGGTCAGTACGAGCCCGGTAGGTGTGGCGTGAGCCGGCTGTGCTTACCTGGTCATTGGCCAAACAGGCCGACTTGAATCGCGTCACGTAGTCTGCGTAGGAGCCCTGAAGCTCGGCAAAGACGGACGCAGACGAGCGCACATCTCTGCTCGCATTGTGGTAGCGCATCCACCGGGTGGCGAAATCCATCGCCGCTTTTCGTGCCTTGGTGCTTGGGGTCAGCTGATACGCGCTCCTCGCATGGGGGAGTATTGGCTGGCAAACCTTGGATGCGCTCGCGCGGAGGTCCTGGGACTCGGCCTTGGTAACCCAAGCGTCAGCTTCGCGTCCCTCCTCCGTGCCTAGGTCCACGCAGACCTTGTCGCTGACTGGCGCGACGGGGCCTTCGAGGTCGAGAGTGATGTCGTCTTCCCACGCCGCCTTTAACGATTCGACGTACGCCTCCTGGGCAGCGTGCATGTCACTCAACAGACTGATCAAGGTCGAGTTCGCGTCCGGATGGTCACCCTAAAAACACTCGGCGTTAGCGTATGCGGCCTGCGTTGTCGACTGCCCGGGCTGGCCCGCTGCGGTAAATGACATACGATGACGTTATCCGAACCCTTTTTCTGCCCGCACGCCGGGCATGGCGGCGGGCCACCACACGGCTGTTTGAGGCTGGGATTCTCCCCAAAGGTTCCATTGCTCATACGCCTCACGCACCTCAGGCAGAAGGCGGCCACGGCCCCGTTCCCTCCCTTGGCACTACCTGGTTGGGTCGCGCTGCCTGAGAGGCCGTCGGCTGTTCTCTGCTTCTTCGGCGGTCTCGGATTCGTCTTCGCGGCTTGGTCTTGCTCGAGGCTGCCAGGTCGGCCAAAGGGTCAACAGTCGCCCTCGCGAGCAGGAGATCGATTGCCCTTCCGTTCTGGGGCTGACTTACTCGCTGGGTTCCTCTGAGTCTTCTTCAACCCCTCTCCTCCACGTGAAACCAGACTTCATGTCTTAGAATAGCTGGCTCTATAGAATCCACTGTATAATGTCAGCAGCGCCCGGGACCGCGGAAGAGGGGGCTATTGTCTTGGAACTTCCAGTCAAACTCACAGAAAGCTTGTTCGAGATTGTGGGTGATGAGGGCTGATAAGCGGAGGAGGGAAAAAACAAGGGTGAAGAAGCAATCAAAAGAGGAGGGGGAAAACAAAAACAAAGGTGAAGAAGCAATCAAAAGAGGCGGGGGAAAAAACAAACAAAGGTGAAGAAGCAATTAAAAGAGGTGGGGGAAAAAACAAACAAAGGTGAAGAAGCAATCTAAAGAGCACGGTGGGATGCGACAAGGCTGAGGTCTGTGCGGCTAATGCCGCAGGCAGAGGTTCAGGCTTTTGATTCAGGTTCCCATTACCGCAAGCTTATGGAGCTTCTTGGCTTTAATGCAGGGTAGCACTGCGGCAGTTAAATCAAAACCTGGAAATGTACTGTATAAAAGGAATTCTATCTGTACCTGATCTGCGTGCGTATGTGCGATCTGACAGCACGTGGCTTTTTAGGTGTGGTGGCGCCAGCTAGGAAGGGAGGCACATGGCGCCAGGGGTAAACTATTTATCATTGGGTAAGCGCGGGGGATTTCCCGATATTGAAGGCTACGGGATCGGTAGATAGCCCGGGGTAGCTGCGGGGTTGGTGGAGGAAGGGCAATTTATCTCATCGACGGTATTATCTGGGAAAGCGAGCAGAAACTGCGTATATACATGAAATGGCTTCCTAGGTAAATACTACACATGTATATCTAAAAGGATAGCGCCCAGTCAAAGAGCAAATCACTCGTACCACCCCGGTAATACCTCTTCTCTTCAGACTTAGCCCAAAGTTCGGCAGCTGCTGGTAGGGACCCGCGATCTACATCTACGAAAGGAAAGGGAAAGGAGTCAGAGTTGCAGTGATCTCACAGTGGACAGCGGAACGTGATGGGCTGAAGACTAGTCTACTGGGATAGGCCTGAGCCGGGACTGCCAGCCAATGGGGGCTTACCCCAAGCACAAAAGGGGCCAGGTACACACATATGCTACTCTATGGTATGGCGGGGCGGATGAGAGTTCGTAGCGCCATTGATATCTCATTGAGCAGGGCCTGGCATCGGTCGCGCGACATTTGAGCCATCTTGACAGAGCGGAAGTGTGTGGCAGCCTCACGCATGGTCTTGTCGTGCAGCAACTGTCGAGTGGCACGCCTTGGTCAGTACGAGCCCGGTAGTTGTGGCGTGAGCCGGCTGTGCTTACCTGGTCATTGGCCAAACAGGCCGACTTGAATCGCGTCACGTAGTCTGCGTAGGAGCCCTGAAGCTCGGCAAAGACGGACGCAGCCGCGCGCAAATCTGCTGTCGCATTGTGCCAGCGCACGCACTGGGTGGCGAAGTCTATCGCCGCTTTTCGTGCCTTGGTGTTTGAGGTTAGCTGATACGCGCTCCTCGCATGGGGAGTATTGGCTGGCAAACCTTGGATGCGCTCGCGCGGAGGTCCTGGGACTCGGCCCCGATCGCCCAAACGCCAACTTCGCGTCCCTCCTCCGTGCCTAGGTCCACGCAGACCTTGTCGCTGACTGGCGCGTCGGGGCTTCCGAGGCCGAGGATAATGTGCTCCTCCCATGTCGCCTTTGACGATTTGACATACGCCTCCTAGGCAGCGTCCATGTCGCTCAACAGACTGATCAAGGTCGAATTCGCGTCCGGAAAGTCGCACTAGAAACACTCGACGTTAGCATGAGCGGCCTGCGTTGTCGACTGCCCGGGCTGGTCTGCCGCGGCGATTGACGCACGATGAGGCTCTTCCAGGGCATTTTGTTCACACAAGCCGGGCACAGCGCCGGACCATCAACCGGCTTTTTGAGGCTGAGGTTCTCTCCATCGAAGATTCCCTGGCTCATCCGCTTCACGCACATCAAGCAGAAGCCGGCCGCGGCCCCGTTCTCTCCATCGACGCTGTCTGGCTGTATCGCGATGCCTGATGGGCCATTGGACGTCCTCTGCTTCTTCGGCGCGCTTGGTTTCGTTCCCACGGCTCGGTCTCGCTCGAGGCTGCCAGGTCGGCCAGACAGTCAGCAGTCGCTCTCGCCAGCAGGAGATCGATCAGATCATCTTCACGTTCTGGGGTAGACTTACTCGATGGGCTCCGCCGAATCTTCCCTCAACTCTCTCTTGGTTGTTCGAGAAGGGTTAGGGTACCCCGTGGGAGCAGATTTCAAGTGACCCATGGTTTGAAGTGCCTGACTCCTCAGAATCCACCGTGCGATGTTAGCAGCGCCCAGAACCGGGGAAGAGGGGGTCATTGTCTTGGAGCTTCCACTCAAACTCACAGAAAGCGTATTCAAGATCAGGGCTGATGAGGGCCGGTGTGCGGAGGAGGAGAAAAACAAATGAAGGCGAAGAAGAAATTGAAAAGGTGGGATGCAAACGGGCTGAGGTCCGTGGGGCGGATGCCTCAGGCCGAAAGCCCGGACTTTTTATTGTTCCCTCGCCGCCTGCTTACGTACTGGCTCGATCTCAATGCAAATACAGGGTAGCGCCACGGCGGTTGTGTTAGGGTCTGGAAATGCGCCGTAAAATCGCAACATCGTCTGCATGTTGATATTCAGCTTGACAGTGGCTTTTTTTGGTGTTGTGGCGCCGGCTCGGGAGCCACAGGCGGGGCGGCGGCCAGGGGTAAATTGTCCACAAATGCATGTGGGTAGGCGCGGAGATTTTACCGATCCGACTACCCGATCACCAGGGCCGATGCGGATGCGGGGTTGGTGGGGGAAGGGCGATCTGTCGCATCAACGGCATCATCTGGGAAGGGGATGAACGGATATGCAGAAACTGCGTACATGTACATTCGCTGCTATCACTGCTTACCAGTAAATGATGCCTAAGAAATTAGTGTTGAAGTCCCTTTGACGCGTAATAACCCTGGCCGCCTTACTGCGTTGTTCGCAAGTGTCGTTCGCGAGAGTTGTTCGCGAAATTCCCTTTGACACGCGCGCTTTGTGGCTTAGTAGCGCGCGTATAGAGGGAACATCAAGTCGCCTACGGCTTTTTCAGTTTCAATCCTGGCGCGAGGGCGCCAAGACTGCTTACAGATCGAAGTTGTTTGCAAATGTCGAGCTGCGCACCTTGATGGGCCGGCAACACCAGTTGATTCCTGATGAGAGAGACTTTCCCAACCCCAGCAGCTTGAATGTTTTCAAGCCCGCCTATTCAGCCGCCACGCTATCGTCCCTCTGCTGCCAACCCTGCGGGCTACACATCCACCGTCGGTTCATGCTCAATGTTCTTTTTTCCACGTGCTTGCTCTATGCTTGGTATTTCCCCAGTGGCCAACGCTCCACGGCCCCATCCACCTTTGCGCCTGGTTTTCCGTTCTCCCCCGCCCTGCCTACGAGATCCAGAGCGCAGTTGTTCCGGTCGGCCCTCCTTTCCCAAAAGCCTCGCCCATCACCAAGCTACCTTGGAGCCCTTTTCCCATACCGGGGCTCGGGGCGGCGTCTTCACGAGCTGCGGTGATGTTCGTCCAGGAGGTCGTGGACCTCTCTCGCGGCCGCTTCCGCTTGGTACTCCGCAAAGGACCAGCCGACGAGCTTCCTGGCGAAGCGAGCTGCTTCCTCGCGAGTCTGGAAGGTTCAGTGTCAGCGAGTTTCTCCCCGTGAGGCGGCGCGAGCTTGCAAACCTGTTGGAGGCTGGCGAGGAGCGCCGCAAGGGTACCGTCGAGTTCCGTGCTCGAGGGGGCCAACCCTTCGTCGTCGGAATCCGTGTCTCCCCAGCTGCCATAGCCAGCCTCTCTGCCGTATCCCTCGAGGTGGTGAACGTATGCTGCGCGGGCGTCCAGGGCCGCCTTCCAAAGATTGACCATGAGGGCCATCACCTGTTCCCAGGACGCCTAAGGTGGCCGAGCCAATGTCAGCCAACGGGAATCCCACACGGGCAGGCAACTCACGAGCGAGGCTCGCCAAACATCCATCCTCCCACACGCCAAGCACGCGTCAGCCCCTGTGTCTCCTCCGTAAGTAACCGTCTGCTGGGCGGGCGACGACGGCACGCTTTACTGACAGAGTGTGCTCTGGGACTGGGCAGGCAGCTCCTCCACCAGCTCCCTGCTGCTGATTTTCTGCACGCAGATGGCGCAGAGACCCGTCATTCGGCCTTGGTGCTCCATCGCTTTGTGGTCGGTCGTTTCCGTCGGCTTCAGAGGCCGGTCAATCGATTGTTGGGTGGCTGGTTGTTGGTGTCGGCAGCGAAGACTGGGGGGTTGGAGGAAGAGAGACTCGAGGAGGGCTGGAGGAAGAGAGAGACTCGAGGGAGCGCAAGGGTCGTCGGTCAGTGCCAGAGGCCTTGGGGTGCAGCCGGGGCGGTGAGAGGTTCGCTGTTCAAAAGGCAGCTCCCAAACTCACGGAAAGCGCAGCGAGAGTGAATCATGCGCAAGCAAACGCGCCTCCAGCCAACAGCCGCTGCTGGGCCTGTGGCAAAAGCAAACTGGTTGGCACGCGCGCGGGCCCGGACAACGGCGGAGTGGAGGCAGAAGCAAGTTTGTTGTTTTCTCTCTCCTCGCCATTCTCGCTCGCAGCCTCGCCGCTCGAGCCCTTGGTCGGTTCTCTCCTCTCAGTCTACGCCGGCAGCCTCTCTCCAGTCCTTTCGAGACCACCCAAGCGGTTGGTCGGTTCCCCCTTCGGTCACGAACTCGCGAAGAGCGCAGCAAAGGTGCACCGTGCTTGTGTGAATGCCGCCTCTTCGCATCTGCGGCTCCCGGGCAACGATGGGTGAGATGAATCGTTCGTTTGCAACACTCCACACACCCAAACACCGGCGGGGCGGAGGCGGAAGCAAGTTTGTTGTTTCTCTCGTCGCCATTCTCGCTCGCAGCCTCGTTTCGGCTCTCACCACCTGAGCGCTTTGCCGGTTCTCCCGTTGCCATTCGAGCTCACAACATCTCCTCGTTCTTTGCCACTCTCGCGCTTTGCCGGTTCTCTCCTCGCCGTTCTCGCCCACACGCTCTGTCTCTCTTCGCCGCCGCCGCCGCTCTCAGCCTCTCACCTCCTTGCTGCTCCCTTCCAAGCCAGCCCAAAGGCGCACGTCAGGTACGAGAACCCCCCCTTCGCCATTGCGTCTTTGCAACAGGACATCGACTCCCCAGCAGCCTGGCCGCGAAGCCGCCGCTTGGGCGGCACAGAGCTTGAATCCCGCTGACTGTCGACATTTGCTGACTCCCGGTTGCAGAAGCATACCCCCCTCGAGCCGATGAAGATCCCCGAGGATGTACACACCTCGGTACGAGATATGATGGCCTATCTGAGGTGGCTACCGACGATCGTGAAGAGGGATGACGCCCCATCGGTGTTTCCTTATCCAGTGAGCATGACCACTGGTAAGGAGAAGTCGAAGTGGATGGCCGAGTTGGAGGAGGAGTGTGCGACAGAGGTAAAGACCGCGAAGCAATTCTTCTGCGGCTCATCAGGAGGAAAGAACTGCATCTTGGGCCTCGGTCTCATGCCGCAACACAACCCGGTCGCCGATGGCAAACGACTGATCACGAAGACGAAGGAGTGGCATGCGTTCGCTATTGCGTGGATAAAGACGGTGGAGCATGGCCGCAGGGTGCTGGTTATCTGGGACCCCGACCCAACTCCCAAAGACTCGAATCGGTCGGTGCATCTTCTGCGTGGGCTCCAGGTCAAGCTCTTTGAGGAAGCCAGGCTCAAGTGCAAGAACACGGAGGTGTACTACAGCACCTTGACGAGGTTCAGCGGACGAGACGAGTGCTTAAAAAGATCATTTGAGAAGCTGAAGGAGTGGATTACGTATGAGTTTGATGATTTGTTTGGAGAAGAAAATGATCAGCGGATCAATGATTGTATTAGATTAGAAAAGTAATTTCGATAGAAGGGAATGCCTATTGGCCTTGGAAGCCTTTGCCTAGGGAATCTATTTGCAGGCGGGTCACCACTGCCCTTCATAACCCAACGGAACGATCCTGTCTAGTCTAGGTAAGCTACTGATCTATGCGTCGCGGGAATGAAGCTTGCGTTATGCTTGAACCTTGTTGTTTGGGTCTTTCCGAACATTATGGGCTTGGGCCTTGACCTCGGTTGGTTATGCTCTATGGCCGGAATCTGTAAAGTTGAGGTTGGTCGGCTGTGGCCAATTAAGTTAAGTTATAAATAAAGTCGGGGTTTTAAATTACAGACTGGGTTATAGTATTATATTAGCTTATGTATGTACTTTATAGCTACCCTAGGTTTATTAAGTATCTTAATAATTATATATTTAAAATATTATAAAATATATTTATTATTTTATATTATAATAAAAATTTTTTAAAAAAATATATATATAATATTAAAAAATTAATTATATATTTACTTTTTATATTTTATATTTATTTATTTTTTATATACCCTATACTAAATAAGTAATAAGCTATATTAAACTATTAACTATTTATAAATACTAAATTATAATATTTTTCTTCTTTAATAACCTCGAAAGAAAAAAAGTTATATTTTATACTTGGTATTTTTATAATACTAAAGTAAATAGTTATTTAAAAGCTACTTTATATTTTCCACATACCCTATACTAAATAAGTAATAAGCTATATTAAACTATTAGCTATTTATAAATACCTAGCTGTGAATTTCTTTTTTTTTTAATAACCTCGAAAGAAAAAAAGTTATATTTTATACTTAGTATTTTTATAATACTAAAGTAAACAGTTATTTAAAAGCTACCTTATATTTTCCAC